AGTTTAGCTGACTTTTCCATTGAATTTCACATAGCCTTGCTTTCCCAAAAGTTGTTCTCATCCTGGGTGTGTGTGAAATTCATAGAACAACTTTTGGGAAAGAAAGGCTATGTGAGATTCAATGGAAAAGTCAGCTAAACTCATATCATTATGTTTTTGGGAAAGCAAGGCTATGTGAAATTCAATGGAAACGTCAGCTCAACTCATATCATTGTGGGAAAATCTTTGGGAAAGCAAGGCTATGTGAAATTCAATGGAAAAGTCAGCTAAACTCATATCTGCTATATCATATTCTTTTTGTGAAATTCAATGGAAACGTCAGCTCAACTCATATGATTGTGGGAAAATTCGTTGGGAAAGCAATACTATATGAAATTCAATGGAAACGTCAGCTCAACTCATATCATTGTGGGAAAATTCTACTTGCAAGGCTATGTGAAATTCAATGGAAAAAGTCAGCTTAACTCATATCATTGTGGGAAAATTCTACTACCATTCCCTTAATCACTTTACACGAAATAGGGTGAATACATCTCATTACACTGATTTACTGGTAGTCTCGAAACCCTACTCATTTAAGATTTCGTATACCCTACTCTGATGACTAAATCGCAATTTGGTCCAATGAAAGAGAAAAACTGGAAGATTTTTTCAAGTTTATACACCATATTGTGAAAAGAATCAAGTTCACAACGAAAGTAGGAAAGTGGAGGCGTTTACCTTTTCTGCATGTCAAAATCACTGAAATCACATGTCGAATAGAAGTCAGAATAATAGTCAATTACGGGTGTCATCACGACTAGAGAGTAAAGATAGAAATACTGAAGAGCTACGATAAACGGGCATGGAATTCTGGGCCAAAGAAATAGAAAAGTTGACTGTGATATTCCGCGGCAAAGGAAATCCGAGGGGAATAATACAAAAAGCATACGGGCCAGATGGAGATAATGAAATTACGTTGAGAATGGAGACTCGCAAAAGTTGCTATGCCTCCATTCTGCGAACAGGCTTGACGGCTACGGACGATATGATGAAAAGTGAATCTTCAGGTTGACACGAAGGGAAAAAACAACACTCTTCACAAGTCTACCGACGCAACATGAGATGGTGGACAAATTAGATTGCTCGGAAGATTAGGGCAGAGCATGCGGAGTCTGCAAAGAGAAGTAGATCGGCGAAGCATGAAGCAAACTCAGCATACGAATGGAGGAAAATCAAGGGCTCTGCATGAAAATGGATACCAAAAGATGGGAAAGCATCACACGTACCGGACACAAGATCAATGGGAAGGCGAAAGAAAGAAGGGCCTCATATGTTGAGAAGACAAGGAAACGGAAGACATCCTTGGGGAAAAATTTAATGAACAGGAGATTGGAAGAAGGCAGACTTGGCGATAATTTCTCCTATTGCCTAAACGAACTCGGAGAAACAAGGATAGTACGAGACAAGCAAAAAGGAGATCCATCGGAAGCCGGAGGAAAAAGAATCGCTAGGAAGAAGAGTGTGAGGAAGTTTCGGGAATCAAGCAAAGAAGCTCTCTCTCTTTCTCTCTCAAAGAAGCAACTACAACCCTATTTCGTGTAAGGTGATGAAGGACTGGTAGTAGAATTTTCCCACAATCACATGAGTAGAGCTGACGTTGTCATTGAATTTCACATTTCCTTGCTTTCCCAAAAGTGGACTGCAGTTTCTAACTCGTATACGTCTTAGCAACAGCCCCAACGGGAGTCGAACCGTCAGTCCTTCAACACTTAAACGAAATAGGGGGAATACATCTCATTACACTGATTTATTGGTAGTCTCGAAACTCTACTCAGAAACGAAAAATACGGCTTATCACAATCGTAGCTAGAGGCGTCCAGTTTGTTCAGTGTACACGATTGTAGTCAAGAGCATGGGAATGAGGGTCTAGACGATCTTCCGGTAAGGCGAGATTGTATGGGCTACCGAAGGATTGGGCGTAGAACTGACACTGGAGCTGGAAGCGAGTGAAATCGGTCAAGCAGAACGATAGGAAACGGATCTACAGGCCCATGAGGAGGATCCAGACGAGAGGCCCGAGTCGGATCAGCAACTCGAAAGGGTGGGGGACGAGGCACATCTCTGATGGATGAACATACAGAAATCGGAGAGGTTGGGTAGGACAGGAGGAGCAATGATAGCACAACTGTTTCGGCAAAAAGGTGGACTTTACTTGTCTCCAGTCTGGTGCTGAGGATAGCAGGACTCACTGGCGGTGCCGACGAAACGTCTGAGAATGTACCAAAATCCACGGTCCGACGCCGTGGATTATGCCAACTAATACAGCAGAAGACATCGGACAAGGTGCATCCAACTAAGTTGCGACCAACTTATATGAATCATGTTGGTTTTGCCATTTTCGGACAATATCATGGCTGTCCATCCTTTCATTCGGCGTCAACCACAGCTCAGCTTGTCAAAAACAACCCTTCTCCAATTATCCCATCCATTAACAGGACCAATCAGCAATCCACTGATCGTCTGCCCGCTAATCCCAGTGTATGATTGTCATTTCATAGCCTCTAGTGGGCCCGTCCATTTGATTGGTCGAATTGCCGGTTGGTCGTCTAGTCGAGTGGATGAGTGGCCGGCTCGCTGATTGGCTGAATGATAGATGGGCTGATGACCGACGGTCTGGCGACTCGAATGTTTGCCTATCTAACCTCTGATCGTCTGTCTATCGGCTTTTTAGGTATGCATCTATGAATCGCTTTTTCTAAGTTTAGCTTCACCAAAAGCTAACGATCTTAACAACCGCCAAGCATAGAAATAAACGTAATTCTATTTCCTCTTGAGGGGCAATCCTTCGACTCGAGGTCAACACACAGGCCGGCCTATTTCCCACTTGCGCACAAGCACAAAATCACCAAAACGCCCACGAACGCCGAGGTAAGCTCAAAATGCTGACTTAAATGATGCCGGCCCAGCCTAGATGCACCATAGTACAGATTTGGTGACTCCTGCTGCAGACGAGAAGTGAACAAAAAGAAGAACAAAAGGAAATAAAAAAGCCCAAACCACCTTGCATGTGATGAAGTAATGCCAGCTTCTGATACACACTCAGTGAAGTCGCTTTCGGATGTATGTTTCATTTCCCGGCAAATCACAGCTCACGGATGTCAATTTGTTCTGACTGGTTTTGTTCATTTCTCTTTTTCTAAGTTTCCGCTCTACGCGTGAAAGGGAGCAAGCAGGTTGTTGGACCTCCACAATTTTCCTGTTCTTGGTGACAAATAAATCATTTGTGAATCCATCAAAAAAACTTCCAATAATGGAAATCTGCACATTTTCATGATCATTATGACCTTCAACTTTTAGGCAAATGTTGTGATAGATCTTCTCTACTTGCTTCGTTATCTTTTCCTGTTCACGTGAGGATTTCATAGCATCGTAGAACTCTGAAGCGCCGGATCGGGAAGGCCTCTACCTCTTCTGCCATGAGACCACTCGCCTATATTGAGACCAACGCCTCCTTTGCGGCTTTACGAGGGACGCATGGAGACGTGCATTGATCCGAACGAATGCCCAGACTGAGAGAAACAAGAATGGATTCCGATTTTGGAATGTGCAAGTCTCGAGAAGACGTCCATCCTGACGATGTTACATCCCATTCAGCCGAAAGTGTGAAGGAAAGTCAAGAAAGCGGACAGAGCGAAGCCAGTCTGCGTGTGGACAGACAGAAACCGGAGACTGAAATGGTCCTTTCTGAAGACAACACCTCTAGTGTGAGCATAAAATTGGGGTATTTTTTATTGGAAAATTCAATACATACTATAAAACTCATTTTCAAGTAGACGTAAGCTTTTTCGTCAATTATTCATTCAGCTTTTGCTTTACTATTCTTGGCCCTCATTCAAGATTAGACAACATTATACTTCAGAGGTAAAACTCCTTTTCTTGATGCAGATAGTCATCCCAAATAATTCTGCTGCTATGCCTCAGTAAGAGAATTACTTTGGTGTAAACTGTAGATTGAAGAACCTTTAAAGTAGTATGAAGGATAAAAGATGCTTTTCTCAGTGTTTTAATTATATTATATTCGCCGCTTTTCTGATTATACTAAGCATTCATCCGTCATAGGACGGGCATCATGTGATAAATTCAAGCAAATACTAAGTCAATCTAGCTAACTGGTCTGTACAATAATGTCATAAATACTCCGAAAAAACAGGATCTTCGTAGGTACGGACTGATTTGCTTGCCCCATTCTCATGGGCTCCGAGTAGTTGTGTAATGCTGTAACGTATGTGCTAAGTCAGCAACGTTTAATTGCTTTTTATGACATGGCAACTCATCCTAAAAATTTAGTTTTTTGATTCGATGATTCGATGGAGAAACTGAAAAAAATATTTGGCCCTAATAGTGGAAGTTCACAAATGAAATAAGAATGCATTAGAATGTCGCTGGATTTAATTCAAATTTTATTCAAAAATATTCTTCTCATTCAGGCTAGATTAAGAAATTCGCCTCAGGCATGATGATGAGATAAACTAATAATTGCCATTTAACATGACATACTACTTGGAGCCAGTTTCAGTATGTCTTAAAACTATTAGTATTTTTTGTTGGTCAAGAATTACTACTATTTGAATCACACTGGGGCAGACAATTTGGGTTACTTTCTTTTTGCTAATGGCAAAACGTTATCATTTTCCTTTAGGCTACTAATCGAGCACAATTATTTATTACTTAATTTCGAAGCCGAAGTGCATACTTTAAATGTATTTCCTAACCAACTTATTACGGTGGTCTCTCCTATTTTGTGCCCAACAGCAAGCACAAAACAATGGTCAAATTAGTGAGTTTGTGCTAATCGTAGGATCCATCTTCCTTTTCAAAAGTATCAGTTTTTAATCTTCCTTTGGTTGAATGGGGCAGTAAGTCTCTCCATCAGGGACAAACAATTGCATACACACTAGTGACCATTGGATAATCTACGATGTGAGTTGATAGAGCATGTTACTTACTCGCCAAGTTGAACTAAGATTAGGGATAATAAAATATATGTCCAAGCATAATGAGGGATTAAAAGAAAACCAGATTGTATGCATCACTTTGTACCGAAAATTTTGGGGTAGCTATCTTGCGCTTTCCCTGAACTAATATCCATTTAAAATCCCTCCTCTTCATATCACTTATTTGCTTAAATAATATCGAATGATAATGTTTATTTTTCGCATTCAGTATTGTTTTAAGATTACCAGTAAATCAGTAAAATGAGCTGTATTCACCCAATTTCGTTTAAGGTGATGAAGGACTGGTAGAAGAAGAATTTTCCCACAATGATATGAGTGGAGCTGACGTTTCCAGTGAATTTCACATAGCCTTGCTTTCCCAAAAGTTTTACTCATTCATAGTGGACTTCAGTTTCGT